GATATGAGAAGCCTGCTTAATTTGCTCAAGTCCTCCCTGAGTTTAAAAAAAAAACCAAAAACAACCAAATGACTAGCCTCATGGTATTCTCCATGCTCCTCCCTAACTAAAAGACCTTTTAATTGTCCATTAGTCCACTAGAACCAGTTGAGATGCAGGGGACAATTACTTTTTCAGAGGTTCCAGGAATGTGTGAACCCAGGCCTTATCATCTGTTTTCCCTGTACAATGGGAGGAGGCAGCTACAGGAGGATCATTAGATCATTTTGCATGACAGGCAATAAAAGGCTTGATACTCAATGCTAAATGAAATAATAGTGGCAGGGATGTGGAGAGATTTAATTATTGCAACGATTTTAATTATGTCAATGTAATGTATCTATTCTCAGCGGAAGTTCCTGAAAATTTCCTTCTGTGTAAATGATTAAAATGATTTCTTTGATTTAGGAATATTTAAGATTATTTTCCTTTGGGAACTGTTTCAAGTTATTCATAGTGGATTAAACAACTTTGCAACAGATTTTTTCCACACACTTTTAAGCTCCTTCAGTCTGTGTAACACTGTAAGGTCTTCTGCCCACTTTGCACAATAAAATGCTGCACTACCATCAAGAGATCCCTATAAGAAGATAAAATTTCTGTTGAAAGCATTGAACAGGCATCAAGAGAAATCTGTAATAGTAATTACTGTCATCAGCGTATTTTTGAATCATGTACCCTGTTTTTATCTTTCTCTTTTATTAATAAATCATTATCATGGCTAAAGTATGGCAAACAACCTGCTGTGCTTAAAGCAGCAAGAGTGACAGACCTGAACTTGCAGTCTTGACAGACTGTAAGCATCAATGTGCTTTGACAGATTGTTTTTCGGTTGTTAAAATTAGACAATAGCTCAAAACACCCCTTTCCACCCTGCCAAAGGCACATGATGAAAGTGTAAGCTGACAGGAAACAGATCAGACTAAAACCTAAAACAGACCTCAGGAAAGAAACTAAGCCAAAAGGCAACTAGGAATAATTGCCTGGTTCCAGAGAAGCATGTAGTAGAAGTCTTTTGAAGAAGTGGACCTAGAAACTGTTGTGGTTTTAGTTTTACCCAAGAACTACTTTGCTTTCCTTATTCCTACATTCAATTTGGGATTTGCTTTGCACTTTCTTCAGCCAGAGAGCTCCTTCAAAATTCACACACAGCACTTGTACCCTAAACACTATGTAGAGCTGAAAAAAAATTAAATCTCAGCAAGACAAATCTCAGTTTCATTAATTTGCTGCCACAGTTAAGACATAGCAGTAACAACATAGACGAGATGGCGACTGGAAGCAGAAGAGAAAAAAGTGCAGTGATGAAGGACTCCCTCAGTATGACAAGCAGTAATCCAAGTATTTAGCTATACATTTTTTCCCCATAAAACATTCCTCTGGATTTGAACTGTCCCAGTTAGACAGGGAAATCTAATACTTTGCAGAGGTCAGAAGAAAAAAAGTAAACACTACACACAGGTCAGATACCCTACCATAGCAAAAGGGAAATTGGGGTAACAGGAGGAAGTAACCCAACACTTCTCTTTTTAGAAGTGGCTCCAATTTCTGCCTATTGAAACATCAGCCCTTTTCAGAACAAATCTCTGCCCAGATTTTAAGGATGGAGCATTTTTGCCAATACTAGTTACTTTCTAACTTCCTTAAATTGTTTGCTTTATAAAATAGGCTTCAGTGAATTGCAGCTACACGCATTTAAACAAATGTCAGCTACTTCATGCGTAATTGGACAACCACATGCCATTCTATGTTCCCACCTCTGCTTTTTAACTCCCAATCACTTTTTTCAGAGATGTTTAAGAAATTGTTGCTATATGTGGGTACCAAGTGCGGCCAATACAGTGAGTGATGCAGCCCTTTTTTACAGCTGATTGTGTGAATTGATCCCACTTTAAAAAAAAAGAGGAAACTTTAACAAACACTTAGGGAACATATTGTGCTTATTAATTTAACGTGAAAAGCTAGAATTCCTTTCCTAGCCTGATCAGCAGCAGGTAGCCTTCGTTGTCTCTTTCTATATTGGTATCAGAGAGGTTGCAGTGTAGTGTGGGGTGGGGCACAGTGCAGGAAAAGTCAACTGCTGAAAGCCATTTTTTTCTGTGCCAGCCTTTTTATCCCACTTCAGAGCTCTGTGATATTGACAGCTCTTGTGAGCCTAGCAGAGTCCACACCTAGCCCTAACATCACTGCGTCAGGAATTAGCAAGGCTCTTTTTAAAGAAGAAGAAGAAAAAAAAAAAAAAAAAAAAAAAAAAAAGAGTTGCTGCAGGAGAAATTCAAGTTCACTGTCAGGATGCATTGCATCTCTTAGAAAAATCACTTGGTAATAGGAAAGAAAGCATCAGCAACTGGGCAGCACTCCCCTCTTCAACCTGGTATTACTGAAACCCTCAAGACAAGCAATAATCACCCCTCTCAATAGAAGGAACATTTACTTGAGTCAGCAATTAAACCAACTTCACCAACAGGAAAAGCTTATAAACCCACAAAAACTCTACACACCAGCCATCTATCAGGTGCCTTAAAGTTACCTTTCTGACTTAACTTTTGTTAAGCTGCTTTTCTCGAGGGTTATGAAGCTAAAACTCCTGTTCTCGAGGGTTATGAAGCTAAAACTCCTGAAGGAGGAGCCTAACAAGCACAACAGCCAAAGCATAAGGTGGGGGGAGATGGGGTGGAAGGAAACAGTGCTGAACATTAAGCATATGAAGTTACCCTTGTATTTTCAGAAGCATCTGACATAAAGGTCATTGCAGCCAGAGGAGAGGACTTATTTCTCCCCATCCCCAGCTCCTGGCCCTGTCTTTTTCTCTTACCCAGATCTGATACTGTTGATCTTCCTCTGCCTCTCCACTATGAGCCAAACCTGCTGCTTTAGTGAGATGAACTGTCCCACAGAAGGGCAGAACCAGCACCAGAAATGGTGCAAATAAGAACAGCAGTAATCGGAGCACACAGCCAAATGGCAGGGGGAAGATGGGGGTGGCAGGAGCACCCCAACAACAGGGGTGTGGTACTGCTGCAACCCCACTGTGTCTCAGGAATTCACACTTTAAATTCCCAGAGTAAGAAGAGAGGGTATTTTGCAGAGAAAACAGAAACAATCTGCTATCTGGCTACACATGCCAACAGCATAGCAACAGTTGTTTAAATCTTTTCCTTGTCACTTTCTGAATTTAAGCACTTTCAAGTTTATTTTAAGTATAAAGCCTAACAGAAACAAGACTCAGGAACACTGTCAGAAAAATCCAGCACCTATACCAGGGAATTACTTCAGAAAAAAGATACAAAATGTCAAGCTGGTTTTGGCAAAGTCCTGGAAAAAGAGGAAAGTGAGTAGTTAAAAAATCTAACACACCGTTTGCTTTTTATTTTTAATTGGATATAATAAACATACACAAAAAGATGCATCAGCATTTTTGTTCATCTTAAGTACATGAAATGGCTGGGAAAGTAAATACATGGCATGAGTGAAGTCAGAAGAATCAAGACTGGTTCAAAACATTTCCAAATGTCATACCAACAGGATATTAACGGAAGCTTTTTAAAGCCATCATGAAGAAGGCTTAAGTAATATCAGAGCCAGAATCCACACTACACACAAGTTTGACACGGACTGAGAAAAGTCATTTTCCTCATGTCGAATATATCCAAGAATTTCAGCTGCAAAGGCTACAACAGGGTTAGCATGACGCCATTTTCTCTCATCTGAATGAGTTCATTGACTAAACAAATTATTAGACAGTAAATGTAAATTGATGCACTACTTTATCATGCTAAAATCATTTTCAGAAATAGTCTTAATAAGGCTGAAGGACAGGCAGCAGCATTTGAGATATTAAAAACCAGTCTAGCACCAAGCAACTCCTAAAGTCTAATTCCATAACTGCCCTTTGGTGGATGCCTTTGGGGAGGAAAAAAAAAAAACAGACGAAAGAAAGAAAGAAAAAAATCACAGTATACTGCAAAGAAAGTCACAAATGCTTGACACCCTGGGTAAGTAAAAAAACTACTTCATTTCCTGAAGCTACACACGGTTGAGATGTGAGTTAAGACCAACAATTTCAAAGACGATGACAACATTCTACCCATTACAGTGCTTATGGGAACATCACACTCCAAGATATTGGGGACTGTATATTATCAGGGCACTTTTGAAAACCAGTCACCCTAAACAGTATACTGCCTCCTTGATCCTGCCAACAGTCCAACAACATATATGTTCAGTGCAGCACCACATTTCAGGAGTATTTTTAAGTGCCCTAAAAACAAAGGCCTCTTTTTACAGCTCTCATCAGCTATGATAATGAATTCTCATCTCCCTCACAACAGACACGTGGTGAAAGGCTACTCCAAAAGAAGAGGTTCGTTTACATACTTCACCAAAGGGATCCAGGAATTAAGACTTTTTGCAGTGCTTTGAAGGCATAGCAAACTGAGGCTGGAAGTTTTCCCAGGCTGAAATGTGTATCTTTACCTTTCTGCAGCACTTGCAGGTGTTCTTTGCTGGCCTAATTCTGCTGCTTCTGAAATCTGAAAAAATGGCTTCCTGGGGATCACCAAAGCCAACACTAAATGCCTTGACAAAGCTTTGCACTAAGTGTGCAACCACCTCAACTTCACTGTCAGCCAGATTTAGCTCCCCACCCACTGTAAGCATGAGACAGCCATTGTAAAAAAAAAAAAAAAATTAATAGTTTTTAAATGTATTCAACCTTGCATCCTTTCCTTCTGTAAAGTAATTTCAGATTTTGTAAATTAAATGCATATTCTAATTCTGAGATGCTTGTATTTTCAATATATTAAAAGTGTATCAAACTGAAATGACAATGAAGTAAAAATGGGATCTCATTTGTATGACTGCTTATTTACTGTTTTAGAATTCTGAAGAGTCTTACACACAAAAGTAGACAGCATTTAATTTTTAAACTAAATTTCTTGGCCTAGCAAAGTAAAAACTAATGTTCATAACTTCTAGGCAGGTACTTCTACAACTTCAAAATAGTCATTGGGCAGAATCACATAGCCTTTTCCTGACAATATGTCTTTTTCTTTCTGAAACTGAACGATCTCTCTCAGTTTTTCAATTTGTCTTTCCTGACGCCGGCATCGCTGTTGCGCTGTCTTGAGCTTCTTCCGCAGTTTTTCAACTTGTTCCTCCAGCTGCTGAATCCTTTTTCGCTGATGAACTGTATCTTCTACGGTATAGTTGTGGTCACAAAAAACAGCAAGATTGCTAGGGGTCTGGAGAGGAGGCATCAATAATCCAATACTTGGATCTACAAATCTGGCATCTATCTGAGACAAATGAAAAGAAGGAGTTGATGGACATGGCGGTAGTACCGGAGCTGCTGGTGGTGGTGGCGGCGGCGGTGGTGGTGGCGGTGGTGGAGGTGGTGGTAGTGGATCTTCTGGCTGTTCTGCAAAATCTTCAGGCTACAAATAACAAGGAAAAAAAGAATATTTTCATGTTTAATATTGTTTACAGCACAACTCCCTTATTACAGCCCCAGAATAAAATAAACAACCAGGACTGAAATTAACAAAATAAATTTCAAAGCCTACACCTTCAAAACTGACAAACAGTTCTGAGCCTGTTTGGTCAGGCTTCTCAACTGGAGATATTTTTAAGCAGCTTCATTTTCAAGGCTCTTTGAAACTCAAGTCCTTGATGTCTCAAACAAATAAAAAGCCTAAGAATGTAGCAACTACTCCCACTTGAAGACTTAGGTCAAATACATATCCATGATTAGCTGTGCAAGAACGTAGACTACAGTTCCATAAAACAGAGTTCAGCTGACCTAATAACTCATCGCTGCCATGCCATTCCCCCTCGTACATCTTTCTTTCTGATGCATCTCACCACCATATACTTCGAACCTATCAGCTAACTTAATCAAAAACACAGCAGAAGCAGGTAATATTCTACTGAGGTAGAATAAGGGCCACCTACTGAGTGGGCTGATGAGCTGGCAGAGCAGAGAGGTAGAACACAGCAAGGCCCGCCTCTCAACAACTGGAAAGGACTGTGTCACTGGTTTCAGGCTGCAGCATAAGGGCTTCGTTTCAAGAGACATGATGAGCCAAAATAAACAGCCTCTTCAACAGCAAAGCAGCCCTCCCAGCCCTGTTATTTACTCTTTGCTCAAACATCCTAAGTTGGTAAGATGACAGAAAGCTATTCACTCTCCCACCATCACTGCAGAAATCTTCTGTCTTTCATTAAAAGTCAAAACAATGCAACACAAGGTATGACCTACACCTGCACTGGTCTGTGGAAGGAGTGAGAAACAGGACTGCACGCACTGGTAGAGGGGATGGAGAAGGGAGAAGCACGACTCTCCCTTTCAGCAGCAGCAGAATATCAATTGGCTCAGCTCCACACAAAACTGCAGTCTTTATCATACTGCTCTCGATAGGTTCACTTGTACCATTCAAGACAACACAGATCCCTCACGACTTAAGTATAGGCCAGAGCAGAGAATCGGATTCTTTCTGCCTCAAAGGAATGCAGTATAAATCAGAAATGCTTCTGTGCACATGATGGTATATAAAAAAAAAACACCACTGTTTAAACAAAAGAGCTTGCATATTGCCTGTCAAAAAGAAAGCCTAAGACATTCCCAGTGAAAAGAGGCACTGAACCAATGTTACTATGTTATTTCTTGAAGGTATTTGGCAGTTCCTTTAAAAGTGCCGTGAGACAAATGACAGTAGCACTACATCCTTCCCCGTAATGTTTTTGTAGATCCAGGCATGATAATGAAAGAGGGAATGTGGCTCACCACTAATGCTGCTGCACCAATCACACTTTTGCAGATTACCCTATACACCCGCTCAGCCTGCAAAAAATTTTGCAACTACTTTACATGTGACAAAGAAAACGTGTGTTGCACCGATAGCAGGGAAGCATAATCAAACCAAAAACTTAACACAGCCGTATCCACCTGGAAATTGTCTGTCTGTTGCTTTACCTGTTAAACTGTCTTTATCTCAACCCACAAGTTTTCTCACTTTTACTCTTGCAATTCTGTCCCCTACTCCACCCCGGGGAGAATGAGCAAGTGGCTGTGTGGTGCTTAGTTGCCAGCTGGGGTTAAACTACGACGCCTGTGAAAACGAGGTAACTGTTAAGGCGAGACAGAGATGGTTTCAGCACAAGCAGACAGCACTTGCAGCTCCTGTTCTGCCCTTCTGCATCTCACTTTAACTCTGCGAAGCCAGAGGACAGAACCCTTTAGAAAGCAGGGTTAAGTTTCAAAACTAAGGTTCATCGTCTCTTCAACGTTAGCAGTAGCCACCAGCCAGCGTGGCAGAGTACAGTGCAATCTGCAAGCAATATTGAAGGCTCTCTAAAACTCCAAATATGCCAAAAGTACAGTTGAACAACTTAATTACAATCATAGCAATACTTTTTTGATGCCATTTTAGTTAATTCAGCACAAAGTTTTAACCGCAGTTACGCTGCTCAGACTTCTGTGTAATGCACACAAGCACAGGCAAGAGACACTGTGTGGCTGCACAAGGCTCTCTGTGCTCCGGAGCCTGGGACACTCTGCATCTCTGCTGTCCTCAAAGCAAGTGAGAGCAGCTGTTGCACCCCTTTCAGCCACCACTGCTCTCCGCCTGCCCCCAGGCGCAGATGCACAGCCAGCACCCTTCACAATCTGCATCCTCTCCCCACTGCTCCACTACATCGAGCCCTGCTAAGCTAATACGACCTACATGCATTCCAGCATCTTAAACTACGAGCGCTTTGGGTTTACCTTTTCACTGGGTTCAGTGTAACAAAATATTGTGGGCACAGCATTTTCCTTCAGAAGCTTGTTGTTGCATTCCCTTTTAAAGCAATCAGGAGTAAAGTGTTCCGAACAAATGCTGCTATACTTGGTAGGCTTGAAGTTTTTCCTTTTAACGGCAGCTTCCCATTTCTTGCAAAGATCAGGTCTCGTAAGAGGAAACCTGTGAATGAGAAGTACTTTCAGCTTTTCAGGAAAGCTTTTTAACACGCGGTCGGGTGACAGTTATGCTCTGCTGCCACTGACGACACGACCGCTCGGATTTTTCTCTGACGGGCTCATCTTCGGAGCCCAATCCCTCCTGCCAACCCAGACCTCGCACACAGACCGAGCTGGGGGTCTCAGCCCTCTGAAACCCCGGGTGGGGTAGGGGGCGGTGTCCCTTCTCTCCGCAAATGGCCGCAAAAAGCGGACTGTCGCCTGGCACTCCTCAGGGACCCCCGGCACGGCGGAGCCGCTGGGGTCCGGCGGGGTCCCCCTTAG